TCACATTTTGTCACCCTCTCCTCACAAACCCAGAAGAGACACTTGGGGGTGTTTGGGGGGCCAGCCTTCCACGTTGGCACCTACCTCCCCCAAGTCTGAGCTGGGAGGGTCCACCTATATGTGGATTTTTAAGATAAATATGTACAGTACTGTAAACGTATTTTCTCTTCCTTATTACTTTCTTAATAATGTTTTCTATAACATTATTGTAAGAATACAGTATATAACACATAAACAAAATATGTGTTAATCGACTGCATATGTTATTGATCACCAGTTGACTCTTAGCGCTTAAGTTTGGGGGCAGTCAAAAGTTATGTTTGGATTTTTGACTGCAGCGGGGTGGGGAGGTCAGTCCCCCTAACCTCCGTGTGGTTCAGTGGGCAACGGTAACTTATGGCACATGGTCCACTGACCTCCTGGGAACTTGGAGTCCTTTTATTGTCCCCCAAAAGCAGCCCGTTCTTCCCCATCCCCTGCCTTCCCCAGCGCCAGGGGGCTGCCTCTGAGGAGCCACAGTAACCAGAGGATTATGCAAATATGCAAATCCAGTAAAGCGGTGTTTACCCAGGGCAGCGCTCTGCAGTCTGTACTCAGCCGCTGGGCCTGGCGGTCCTGGAGAGGACTCCCTCGGTGTCATCGCAACCTCTAGTGGACAACAGCGACACCGCGGCTCACAGGGCTCTGTTCCAGCTCTGAGCCCACGATGTCCAGGGGGCGCGAGGAGAGCGGGCAGGGCTGGAGATTGGTTTCAAGCGTGACCGCGTGTGCCTGCCTACCTTCCCCTCCCACTCACTCCTGCTCCCCTCCCTCGATTCCGCGGGTGTGCGATGTGTCCTGAAAGTGAAGCCTTCTTCAGGGTCTTCACTGCTGTGGAAATCCCCCCTCTGGCTGCTGGTCCCTATCACCTCCCTCAGGGCCGGCTCAAATGCTACGCACCCGGGGAGTCCTGCCTTCACTGACCACCACCTCTGGCCAGAACCGAACACACCCACCCGTGGGACCCCACAGCACTCTGACATCTGCTTCCCAAGCACGGATCATGCAGCATGGACACTGGTGGCTCGCCTGCAGCTCTCTCTTGCTAGGCTGTCGTTACTGTGACAGGGACCTCGTTATATTACTCTGTGTCCCCAACACGGAGCCTATGGCCTGCTCAGCCAAGGTTAAATGAATGAATGAAGAGTAGATGTTTTTTTCCAGAAGTCTCTTTTCTTACATCTTCTTTCCAACCACTAACCTTCCATCCTCCATCTCTAGTACCGTGACCTCTGCCTCCTGATGGTAACATTGAGGTTCAAAGAGATACAGGGTGAGAGTTTGGAAAGGAAGAGTCTGCACCAGGCAATGAAAACTTCTCACCGGCCACAGGCCGCAGAGGGGGGCTGGAGCTGCTCACTCACCCCACCGCCTCCCCTTCTACTTTGGCCTAAATCATCCAGATGTCCATGGCAACATCTGGTTCACACTAATTTCGGGGATCTCCTTCCCTGGCACCTACGAAGAGGGGAGGTCTGCTCTTTGAAAAGCAGGGGCCAAATGGGAGTAAACGATACTTGAGCATCTGCGACATGCCAGGCACCTTGCAAGGAAGCGTCAGGTAATCATCACAACCTTCCCTCCTGGCTGGAACCCCAGTCACCAAACCCCCACTCCGTGCCACAGGTGGTGACCTGAAGGCTCAGGGGATGTAGTCCCACTGACCATCCCACACTCAGAAACAGGGGAGCTGGACCCAGGCTGAGACCACGCCGATTCCAAAACCACGACCGTCTGCACCAGAACCCTGTAAGTCCAATTCTAGTGGCCAGCTCAGCCATGCTCCCCGGAACAGCCTTGTAAGTCCTCTCTGGGGTTTGGGAGTTTGGCTCCATGAAGGAAACACACACCAGTAGAAAAATGGCCGTTGAACTTTGCATTCCAACGGCGCCTTTCTCAGCACGTCCTCCTGCCCGCCCTCCACCTCTCCTTCCTCTTTTTCACTGTGAGCGTCCTATCATCCGTAATTTCTCTCAGAGAAATAGGAGCTGGTTGTGTTGAGCAGAGAGAGGGAGGGTGGAGGCAACGGGGCCATCTCCAAGCTGTGAGAGCTCTGTTCTGCTCACCTAGGGCATTGCACACGCCTGGTGGCTCCGGAGGTCAGAGTTCACCTCTTCTGCCCTCCCTCACCAAAGATAGCCTTGAGCGCCCCTAGTGGAGGACTGCACTACTGGCGTGTTGCAGAAATCGTGAACCAGATATGAGGACCGGCACACGGAGCCCTTTTGAAGAGCTTTTCAAATAGCAGGGATGAACTTGTGAGCAAAGCCAGAAAACAAGCCACTCTGATCAAGTAGTCACATCCTCGTGCCTTGGAAGAGAGAAGGAAGGAATACGTTATTTTTCTGATGTCTAACCTAGCCATGCGAACACAAGGAGAATCCCTGAAGCTTAGATGTAAGGTGGTCCCCGGCAGGGGCAGCCAAAGCACCGCGGAAAAGAACGCCAAGCCCTAATGGAAATGGTCTTTAAGTGAATCTAACAACAGTGCACACTAGAAACGGGAGGAAACAGCAAATATGTGCGCTATTCAATTTGCTTTATTAATTCAAGAGAAAAAGAAAAGAAATTACACGCAGGCTCTGCAGTCTTAGCACGCAGTTGCAATTATTCCCCATGTGCATATCTCAGACAATAAGAAGCCTCTTCAAAAACAAGTTACACTTTATACTTATTCATGCCTTACAGCAAAATGGCCCGGGGAGTCACGTGACCTGCATGAGAATGTAGCAACAAGTCCCTTTCAAGTATTTACAAATTCCCTTACTGCACGGCGGCGAACGGCCGGCACGGAATCCGAGGGATGGCTCTCCATCTGACACCAGTGGAACTGGGCCCCACGGTAAAAATAGAATTACTGTGGAAGGTCAGTTGCTTCCAAATGCACTGTCAGAACTGGCAATGCTCACTGGCCGCCCTCGCTCCCTCCTGATGACTCAGAGCCTCAGAGGCAGAACAACATGGTTATTAACGCGCCCGCGGAAGCAGTACATGAGTTGACTCGAATTTGGCGGTGGCCTGAAGTTTATTAAGAAAGATGCTTGGTGGCCATAGAGCAGAGTTGGAGAAACAACATAAACTGTCTCAAGAAATGAGCATACACACATTTTCTGTTTGAAGCCAGTGGCGGAAACGGGATAGTGAGATCCTTTTCTTGGATGACAATCCAATGTGGGCCATGCAGACATTTTTCCTGAAGGGTGGTGTTTTGGAGAGTGTGGTCCTCGGATGCAGAATTGCTTTAGAAAAAAAAAAGCCAGCAAGCCACTGGCTAGCTTTAGGTGCTTTCAGGGTGTGTCAGTCACAACACGGATTCAAAAGGTGGGGAGCGAGGTGGGAGGGGGGGTCTGGACTCTGTTCAAGGCCACTGGGCCATGGTTGGGAAGAGACGGCTAATTAAGGAAGGGCATGCTGCGGTGGGAACGACTTATTCGAGCCAATTCGCTACTCTCATCTTTCCCAGGGAAACTGTCCGGACCTTGTGTAAATTGTGGATAACACTGTCTCGTAAGTTGGGGGTGGGGGTGCTCTAATGATATGCTCTGTTGAACAAAAGGTGGTGAATTCTTTTCTTCACTCTGCATTCCGGCCTCCACGTTTGAGGAGAAGGGGGTGGGGGATAAAATGCCTGATTTATGCTGTGGAGGGCACTCCAGGCCTTGGGGAGGAGTTGAAGAGAGAGAGGGACCCAGAGCCAGGGCCCTCCCAGGGAGCCGAGAGCTGTCCGTGGCCTTTGGTGCTGAAAGCAGGTGTGCGCGCCAGGGGGCCGGACCTGCCCAGGGAGAGGGGGCACCACCTGTCCCCCAACTCCGGGTCGAGGCGGTTCAAACCGGAGACAAGGCAGAGCGCGCGCTCTCCGCCTGGGCAGCCCCTGCCACCGCCGGCTTTGTCCCACGTGAGGAGCGCTTCTCTGACACAGGGAGTTGGACCCTTCGGAAGGGGAGACCGAGTGGTCTGCCAGCGTTGTCCTCTGCTCCTGAGTCTCCTAGTGACCCGATCAAACCCTCCGAGCTCATGGGTTTAGCTCGGGATGAATTAGGCGCTCGTCTCTCCATCTCGACGCCCCTCCCCGATTTTTTCCGGGGTACCTCAGCGGGGTGGAGGAGAGGGTCCAACGCCAGGTCTGGGAAGAAGCCGCCACTATCCCCCACTGAATGTGGATCCCCCTTCCGGACCGCCAAGCACGTGGTGGGTGAAACTACCACCCCCTCCCAACACACAATTCTTAATAGTGTTTAAAGACGCTAGGCGGTCAGGGGGAGCAAGAAGTGGGGAGCTCGCCCAGGCTCTCGACTCTGACCTAACATCTCCCGTCCCCGCCGCCGACCCTCCCCCCAGCCAGTTCTGAGAAGCCCGAGCCCCCTCAAATGGCCTCTAGGCAAAAGCCACACCCAAGTTGGGCTTCCAGACACTTGGTTGAGATCCGTCCTAAAACCGGGTCCCGGGGGCGACCCGAACCCAAAGAAGGGAAGAAGCCCTACAGCAGGAGGGAGCTGCGCTGCGATGCCACCCCCAGACGCGCGGCGGGAGTCTGGTCCTCAGTTTCGGGGCGGACCTGCTGCCCCTCCTCATCCTCTCCCAGAAAGGGCGAGAACTGTCTGGCACCCAGCCCCGGGTGCAGTTGCAGGGAGCTCCGGGAACCTGGGGTTGGGAGGCTAGCCTGCTTCCGAGCAGGTTCTCTGGGGCTGCAAAGGCGAGTCAGCCCCACAGCCCGGAAGCCCGGAGCCGGCACCCGGAGCAGGGGAGCTCCGGAGTCCTGCAGACACAACCCACCTCCACTCTCCCATCGGCCGGGCCGAGGGGACGCGGTTCCTTGCCCCGAATTCAGGCAGCCGCCCCCGCTGCCCATCCCGGCGGGTCGTGGGTAGCGCGTGAGTGGCCCGGGGCAGCCGGGACCCCCAGCCGCCCCGTACTCACCACAACTTTGCCCCCTCCCCAGCCCCACCCCTCCTGGGGCTTACCTCCCTGCAGAGCAGCCGCGGGGCTCCCGAGGAGCAGAGCGAGGAGCAGGGAGATCCCGCCGAGTCCCGCCGCGGGCGGCCGGGCCGCTGGCATCGTGGCTGCCGGGGGTGCGGAGCCGCGGGCTGCAGGGCGGGCGGACAGCGCGGGAGCCGGGCAAGAAGGGAGGGAGGGAGGCTGCGAGCGAGGCGGGGAAGGCGGGAGCAAGGGAGGGGGCTGTGGGCCGGGGCCGCCGCCGGAGCCCCCGGGCGGACGCGTGCTCAGCCCCGCGATCGTTCCGGCCGAGCTGCGCTGGGCGCGGGCGGGCGAGTGAGGAGGAGCCGGCGAGCGAGCGAGCGAACGAGCGAACGAGCGGGAGGAGGGAGGGGGCTGGGACCGAGCGAGCGCAGGGAGGGAGGGGGCTGGCGGGCGGGAGGGCAGCGAGCGAGAGGGGCCGCCGCCCTGGGTGCTCGCCTCCGCCTCTGGCCGCGGGCCCGTCGGCCCCGCAAAGTTTAACGCTAATTTCCCCTGCGTCCTGGGGGCCGAGCGCGGCCGCTGAGCGGGTGCTCACGGAAGCCCCGCGCTGGCCAGGCGCGCTGGAGAGCGTCCGGACCATTTTGCAGACGGTGAGATGAAGGCCTCAACGCCCAGCGCATCCCTAGCCTGTGAGCGGCCTAGAGCTTATCACTGTCCAGCCTTCCGGACGGATCTAAGTCCAGCTCTCGCCGTTGCATTTCAGCACCCCCCCGGCCCTTTCGGGCCCCTTCCCTGCCGTCTTCCCTGCCAGCTCTCCCGTGTTGCTGAAGCGAGTCCCCATAACCTAGAAAATCTCAAACTCTGTGGATCGCACAAGGGCTGTCGATCTCCCTAGAACGATACAAATGGCTAGAAAGATTGTGCATCCAGAACCTGAGGGCTGCTCACCTCTCTGAAGCCCAGCCAGACACTGTGAGTGAGAGTGTATCCATGTTTCAATCTGAGAGCCACCTTTCACATCCCTGCTAACCACAGGGCACCAGAGCCAGCCAAGGCTTCCTCTCGGCTCAGCCCCGGGCCCCTGCCTGCTACACCCCTTCCCCCCATCTGAGCTGGAGTTCAAGGCCCACCCTCATCTGCAGTGCCGGTGCCCAGCTTGATTATCAGCAACTTTTCTCCACAAATGGCAGCAGTGGTGGTGGGTGTGGGGGTACAACAGATGAAGGAGACAGGCAGATGCTTGGGGACAGGCTTTAGCCAAGGGCTAGATGGGGACAGGCACTAGCCAAGAGCTAGAGGGGAAGGGCTTGGAGACTGACTGTGTGGACACCTTCGCCCCCCTCCCCTCCCCAGCCAGCTTCCCAGGCCACTCCTCCCAATTAGAAGGCTTCCCTCTCTCTCCCCACCCCCAGCTACCTTGCACCACTACGTACACACTGCAGCCTGAGCAGGCAGAGGGAGCAGATGGAGAGAAGGGAGCAGCAGCAGCAGCCGTCTTGGGCTGGGAGTGGTGGAGCTGGGAGTGTTTGTAAAGACCGGGCGGGGGAGGTGAGATGGGGTGCAGGAGGGCAGGCAGGAGAGGAAGCACCTTGGACCAGAGAATGGAAAGATCTCCTCACCCCCACCCACAGCTTCCTCATCCATGTATTCACTCAATGCTCTTTCACAGGGTGCTCCCTGCAAGTCCAGGCTTGCGTTAGGTTCTGGGGGACAGAGAGCCCCCAGTCAAAAACCACTGCTTGGCTCTAAGAAGTTTCTATTCCTGGCATTAAGGCCAACAGCATTTTAGAAAGAGGGGGCTGCCCTGACCGGCGTGGCTCAGGTGGGTGAGCATTGTCCTACAAAGTGAAAGGTCACCGGTTCTATTCCCGGTCAGGGCACATGACTGGGTTGTGGTCTGGTCTCTGGCTGGGGCTTGTGCTTGTGATCCCTCTTATGCTGCTGGGCTGTCACCAGGTCTGTTGGGCTTTTTCCTTATCCATCCCTCCCTTCCTTCCTCCCTCCATCCATCCACTCATCCACCCATCCATCCACCCATCCATCTACCCATCCATCCACTCATCCACCCACTCATCCACCCATCCATCCATCCATCTATCCATCCACTAACCCACCCACCTACCTACTCATTCTTCTATCCAGCCTATCTACAAATATTGTTTGAGCAGCTACTATTTATCACATGGCCACCGGGTGCCAAACTCCATGCCAGGTGCTGTGGATGCAGCAGACTGTATCTCTTGCTCTCTAGACCCGAAAGTCTAGCGAAGTCTGGCAACACGAGTGCCCAAATCCTTCCCGAGATTAATGTTCCACATCAGGGACGCAGTCTAGCACAATGATTAAAGGCAGACTTTGAAACCTGCTAGACTTGAATTTGAATTGTTTCTCTCCAAATAGCTATGTGACCTTGAACAACTGACTTAACCTCTCTGAAACTGTCTTAATGAAAGGTTGACATTTAGATTAAAGAAGACAATTATTATACGCATGTAGGATAGTGTCCATAGCATATAGTCAACTCTAGCCATTTGTCCATCCATCCAAACATCTATCCATCTATCCATCTATTTATCCATCCTTTCCACAAATATTTTTTGGGCACCTGGCCTGTGCCAGGCACTGTTCTGGGCACTGGGGACACACAAGTGAACAAGATGAAGTCCTTGCTCTCTGGAACTTCCTTTGCACAGGTGAGAGATACACAGTGAACTCTGTAGTAAATAAGAATTTCAGAGAGCTTTAGGACGCTTTGAGAGTAAAAGAGGCAGGCCGTTTATGAATGACCAGAGATGGCCTCTCAGCCTAGGAGACGTTTAAACAGAGAAGGGAAAGGTGAGGCAGGGGTAACCAGGTGACGAGCTGGGGCAGAGCGCGTTCCGGGTGCCAGGCCACACTAAACGGTGGCCATCGCCGTCCTGTGTCTGTCACGCCGTCCTCTGTCTCTGCAGATCGTAATTAACCAGGGCCTGATCTTGAGCTCCCCAGGAAGTCTGTACTCAGGAATTACTCTCTCCATCTGTCAGCATACAATGCTGGAAGTTTCGATTTGACCCACGCTCCTGCCCCACCCAAGCCAGCACCCCAGTTCTCTCCCAGGAGCATCGGGTGCCGGGAAGGTTTATCTCACTGGGGGAAAGAAAGAGAGAGAGGGGGAACAATCTTTTGTTTTGGAGTAAAAATGAAATCCAAAAGGAGACATCTTAAAAGAGAAGGACGGACATTTTTGTTTTTTCTTTAAACTGTCCCAGCAACAGGACAGCCCAGGAGAATTCCACCCTGGGTCTTTGAAGGGCAGGCGGAGCATGGAAACAGCACTTTGCCATGGTGTTTGCAGCCTGCCCTTTGGAACTTGCAGGTGGGCCTGGCCCACGCAGTCCTGTGCAGGAGGCCCGAGGCCGTGATGTCGCTCTGGCCAGGTGCTAACGAGGGAATGATCAACTTTGACACGGCCCCCCCCTCCCCCCGCCACTGTACTCACATCACCTGGACAGAAGTAATTAGACTTCTTTGGTTTCCTTGGAAATGCGCGATCTGTCTCTACCACCTGCCCTGGTTCTTGAGAAACACCCGAATCTGACAGGGAGACAATGCCTTTACTTTCAAATGGAAAGTTTACAGAACGCAAAGCGAGCCTGCATGATGGATTTGCATTCTGCAGAGGCTGGCCTGGCCGGACGAGGAGAAAACCCGTGCGCTGTCAGAAACTCGCAGGAGGCTGGAGGACAGGGACAAACACGCGGGGCCTAATGGGACCCCGCTGCCGAGTCCCTGCGAACCCAGCTGGGAGGGCGCCCTGGGTTTACGTTTTTGGGTCTCAGCAGCAACAAGCAAATCAATGAAAGAAACTGCGTATATTTGTACACTCGGTGGCTTAAATGGTGGCATGCACATTTCCCAGACCACAAAGAACAGCCTATGAGCGCAAAAGACACCCAGGGGCTATGGTAGGACTTTCGTGAGCACCCGTGCCCTTTAGGGTCACCAGGTTTATTTGGAGTCGGACATGCCGGAGTTTGACTCAGAGACCCCTCCTAGGTGTATCCCCTGTAAGCCTCAGTTTCCTAGTCTGTACAAAGTGAGGGATATTAGTAACTACTTCCCAGTGTACCTGGAATGGTAAGAGGGGATTCGTGTCTTATGCTGAACTAACTGCCCACCCTGTAGTAGATGCTCAATAAACAGAGGCAAGTATACTGCGTTATACAGATTGTGAGAGAGAAACACAGCCCAGGTGTCGTAAATGACTCTTCCGCAGTAGGGTTTATCAAGTGTATTTATGTCTAGATCCAGAAGAAAGCCCAGCGGGGGTTTAGGATACAGAATAAGGAAAGCTCCCAAACCCATCAGGGACTGGGCCAATCCAAACCATTTCTCGGGTGACGCCTCACCTGAAATTAACCGAGGCAGCCCTGTCCTGGTCAATTGCAGAAACACCCTCTGCCCTTCTCCCTCTGCTCCAGCCTCATCCGTCTCTTCAGTGTGGAATACTGAAAAGGCCAGGCGGCGTCAGGTCCCTGCTGACTGATAGCCTGTCCTTTGTCCCAGCTCCCCAGCCACGGTCCCCGAGGACAGAATTGGGCAGGAAGAGGAGGACTAATGTCGGAGGTCCCCCAGGCTCAGCGGTTCTGTGTTTATCCATCACCCCACACTGGTCCCCAGGAGGAAGTCTCGCCCAGCATCAGCAGGAACAGCGGCCAAGCGATTTCCTCTTAGACTCGTGGGCGGGTCTGGTTTCAGGAGCCCAAGGCACAGTGGGTAGAAGTCAGTGAGCCCAGAGGCCTCCCCACTAACTCCTGTGTGATGTCTGTGTCCCTTTGCCCTCTCTGATTTTTAATTCACCCACAGGAAAAGGGAATAGAATTAGAAAAATGATCTCTTGTTTTGAAATCCGATCACCCTATGGCGTCAGCTCCCACCCATCCAAGAGATGACAGGTCCCACCGCTCTCCTGGTGAGAAGAAAAGCTGATATTTTTAAGCAGCTGCTTACGGTTTGCCATTGGATGTCTCATTTAATCCTCACACCCTGCCGTGGATGTTGTATCATTATACCCCCAGCTCCTATCCCCGTCTTTAGGGCCCTGCGGGTCTGGTCCTTCCTTCCTTTCTGACCTCACCTGTGCGTCCCTTTATGCAGCC